CGTCTCCTGTCAGAGCTCAACAAACAACGTGGCACAACCTTTTGGTGGTAAAAGGGTAATCGCTGATGATTATCTCCACAGTAGCGATAGTTTTGTGTGGGGTTTTGGTCATTTCTGCAAATTCGACCTCATATATGATTATTGAGCTAATTCACTCTTATTTAAATCACTTAAATTTTTAAAGACTACTTTATAAATCAAATATTTCAATTCCAAAATAGAGTAGAAAATGATATTACTCCATATTTGGAGTAAAAAATAACATTTTTCCATTTTGAAGTTGAAAATAGAGTGGGCTTAAAGAATATTTTATCCAAAAATGGCGTTTGGAGTCCGATTTGGAATAGCGTTGAAGATGTCCTTACGAACTAGTCATGTAGTCTTCAAAAATCGTTTGTGTTTGTAATTTTCTATTTTATAGTTTTGTAATATGCATCTATATTTTGGTTTCAAAAGACATTTATATTCTTCTTAACCTTCTAATGGAGAAAAGAGATCAAATGGTGCAGATCAAGCGGTCAAAATGTATGGTTAAATGGGAGAAGCCGATAAAATGTGTTATATAATAGCATGGGTATAATCATATATTGGGTTTGGTTACTTTTACCTAAACAATTCAATAATTTAATTTTAATGAATTTTGGTTACATTTTTGGAAAATGTTAAATTTTTAAAAATATAAGAGGATTATTGCATATTTTAAATATTTTAGATATTTTGGTCTAAATATAATTATTATATTCAGTTTGTAATTGTATTTTTGATAGTTTTGTTATTTCAAAATTAAATATAACTAATATTTTGGATATTTTAAGTATCATTTTGTTTTTTGGATATAGGAGTTTAGGATACATTCAAGTATATATGTTAGTTTCAGTTTGGTTAAATACCTTCTATACTGGTTTGGTTTAATACTGTTTTTTAGTTCCGAGTAATTTCTCCACACCTAGGATGTAACATATATTTGAATAAAAAATATCAATATACTAAAATAAAATTTAATTAACCTATAACTTACCTAATAACTTTTCCTCAGGAATTAATATTAAAGTTTACTAAACAGTAAAAATACATTACAAACAATACCAATATGGATCGTTTATACTATTCATAGCAGAACTCAATTTTTCTTCATAAAAACGAACCACTAATAGTTTATTAATTTATTTTTATTTAAATTAAAGAACTCAATATTTAAAATAAAATTGATGAATGGAACATATATATTGGGTTAATCCATATCATCAATAATTGTCTTTTTTACTGCTCCCATTCAAAACCTTACTATTGAAATTGTAGATCCCATAGTTGATATGTGGGAATTAACTCCACCATTAATAATAGTCTTATCGTTTTGATTTACTTATATTTCTAACCTGAAACTTCTATGCTGTGCATATCAAGTCCATCTGTTTCAAAATATATAAGTAAATAACCCTTCTTCATATAAATGAAATTTTTTTATTAATAACTGATTCAAATCGAAGTGTTCTACATACACTTACAAGCAATTAGTTAAATCTCAAATATGAACTATAGATGTTTTTCTTTTTTTGGTCAAACAATGTTTCATAGATTAGGTACTCTCTTCATTAGAAGAGGATTTTTTTACCAAAATATAACAAAGCTAATTTGGCTAACAAATCTGCTGCTACAAGAGCCAAGTGAAGAACATAGAAGCAGAAGATACAATAAATTTGTCTTTTTTACTGCTCCTATTTGAAATCTTACTTTTGAAATTGTAGATCTCATAGTTGATATGTGAGATTTAACTCCACCATTAATAATAGTTTTATCGTTTCGATTTACTTACATTTTTAATCTGAAACTTCTGTCCTGTGCAAATCAGGTCAATCTGTTTCAAAATAAGTAAATAACATTTCTTCATGTAAATGAAACAAAATTAATTAATAAGTGATTCAAATAGAACTGTTCTAAATACACCTACAAGCTATTAGTTAAATCTCAAATATGAACTATAGATGTTTTTCTTTCTTTTTGGTCAAACAAAGTTTTATAGATTAGGTACTTTCTACATTAAAGGAGAATTTGTTTACAAAATATAACAAAAGCCAATCTGGCTAACAAATCCGATGCTACAAGAGCCAAGTGAAGAATATAAAAGAGAAGATAGAAGCAATCATTATACTTAAGCAATAAACATTGTTGAGAAGTACTTGTATCCAGAGGCGGAACCACGTTATAGAATAGGGTGTCACATGACACAGAATAAAATTATATATAAATAGTTTTGTTGCATGTAGTAAAGATTTTTGTAGATCATTTGGTTGTTTTAGCTCAAGTTTGACCCCCTTTACCTAAGTTCAATCCCCCAATATGATAATTTTTAAATTTTTCTTTCATTATTTTTCATTAGTGTTATATTTTGAACCCCCTAAAAATTAATCATGGGTCCGCCACTGCTTGTATCTCGTCAACCTCTCTAAACCTAAGCAGTAGAATGATGCCATGGGAAACAAAAAAAAAAAAAAAAAATGCCTGAAATTGACACTGTAACTAATGCTGGATTAGAAATCCTAAACCAGATACAAAAGCAAAGGTCACCTGGTGCTAATTTGCTAAGCCTTTGAAATGAGTAGAAGCAGAGCTTCGGTTGCGAAGCAGTGCTCACCGTACCTCCCTCATCACCTCCATCACTGGAGACAATCACCTCAATATTAATCTGTACCACCATCGCTGCTTCCGCCAAAGCACTGGCCCTGCCAAATCGAGCCATCTGACAATGTCACCAACACGAGATCTATGATCTCTGCCATGGCTCACAGCCCCCGCCAAAACAACTATCACCCGATACGCATCTTTTACAAAGTCCAAAGCGCTTCATTGATAAATCCAAGTCAATCTCAAGCCATTCATTCTGCTGGTTCTCTATCACCGGCTTGAGATTTGTATCTATCTAGTTTAGAAAAGATATCTAGTATAAATATGCATGTACCCTATTCATTATAATTATGAAAGCAATATACAATTCTTTCCAAACACTCATGTGTTCTTCTCTCATCACTCTAATAATATATAAGGTTAGTGCGAATCGCAGAAAATACATGTAACATAGACAAGCATAGAAAACACACACAGATGTATTATACCTGTTAAAGAAAAAAACATAATTCCACGAGATTTAGGGTTTAGGAAGTTAGTTCATATACTCATATGAATTAAAAGACCTAGGCAACCCCACTCCTTATAAAGAAGGGAGAAACGAACTCGAGAGAGATATCCAAAAACAAGCCTATTAAAAAAAAAAACATAATTCTACGGGTTTAGGAAGTTATAGTTCATATACTCATGCGAATTAAAAGATCTAGGCAACCCCACTCCTTATAAAGAAGGGAGAAATGAACTCGAGAGAGACAACCAAAAACAAGCCCTTTCAACAAAAAAGAGAGATCTAAAAATCAAGAGTAAGAACAGAGACATAAAAGCTTTTCAAACTATAGTTTGAACGATTTCTGCCTTAACTAGCAGCAATCCAAAACCCACACATTAATGATTATTTATTTTAATTTTTGTTTTGTAAATGATTGTTTATTAATAATATTTTCGTATATATTTGATTCTTTTCAGTACATTTATAGAACGAGGATTCGTTTATTTTCTCTAAACATAATCTAATAAAAACAAAATACGATAGTGTTTCAGTAAAAAAAAATAAAACATTAACTCAAAAACACATCAATACCAGGAATCGAGAGGAAGTGAGGATTATCTACTCGTCATGCAAGTGACCAACGTGTGTCTCTTTCCTTTCTGATTCTTATGGATGTCTTATCAGCATCTATAAGCCCATGTATATATACTTGCGTCAAATTTAAGAGTTTATGACTTTGTATATTTTAATTGGTTACAAATTCAAAAATATTTCTATTAATTAATAAATCACTGATTTTACAATTCTTGATTTTTTGGATTATCCGTTTAATAATTTATAGATACTATTTAAATTAATCTAAAATAAACATAATTTTATGAATATACATTAACTTTTTCCTGTAATAAATAATTAACAGGATCGTTTGAAAAAAGTAATGAAAAAAATCATTAAATATATTAGAAATTAACTATAAACTCCAAAACTACTATAAGTGTATTCTTTTCTACATTAATTCTATAGTTTTCTATAAAATTTTCAAACTATAAAGTTTAGTGTTAAATTATATCAATATTACATATGTTTATTATTTATTTGGTCCTCAAGTTTTCAATTTTTTAGATTATGCAAGTAAGTTTTAGTATTATTATTAATTTTTTAATTATTAATCTCCACAACATGTTATTTTAATTTGTATCCATTTTTTCTAATAATTTGTATCCTTTTTATAAAAAGAATTTCCACTTTCATCCATTTATGAAAAGAATTTCTATTTTCATTATATAAACGTACTAAATATATTGTTTTGGGCTCTACAATACAACTTAACGTATTAAATATTAGTATAACTTTGTACGAGAATAATAAATGGAACTCAACTCTTTTTTTTTTGGTGTGTGGTATGGTATCCTTTTTTTTTTTTGGTGTGTGGTATGGTATCCTTTTTTTTTGGTATGAATGTTAAGTATATGGTATCCTTTTGTTATTTCCTATCAAGAACTTAGCAAATTACGATTTACCTACTTATAGTTATATATTGTTATCCCATATATATACCAAGTTATACTAATTATTGATTTTTTCATTATTATTTTGTTTAAAAATTATTTTGAAAACATCAATCTTGAAAAACCGATTGACAAAAAAAAAAAAAACTAATTCTTGAAAAACCGAAAATTACGTGCCGAGGACGTATACTCTGGCCGTCGTCATTTGTGGAAAAAATCAAAGTAATTCAAATATAACTTCTCCTTTTATAAAATACATGTGGCCAAATGATGCCATGTATTATATGATCACCAACTAACATTATTTTCTCAACGTTACAATATGGTGACCTAAAAAAAAGCAAAGAGAAAGCGGATCACATTAATGATCCTATGCTATTAATCAGACGTTCAACAACATCTCAACAAATAAAGTATTGTTCGATAAAAAACAATAAATACTAAGCATTAATTAGTGATTAGATATAGATATAATTAGAAACTAAAAACAATAACTATATTAACTAAGCTAGCAAAGTAGGCTTGGGAGTGAAGAGAAGTGAGAGAGTGGTGTCTTCAGGTGAATGCATAAACTTGCAATTAGGACACGCTGGTAAAGCTTTACACAGCATCACCAACATATTACATTTCATGCACACTCTCGCCACCATCTCCTCCTCGCCGCCACCGCCATTACTGTCATTACCGTCGTCGTCGAGGTCAAAAGCAACACACCCCATGCTTTTCTGTGTTTTTAGCCCCAACACTGAACCCATCTCCATCATCTTCTTCTTCCGCTCAACTCTCTCATAATTTTTATTGTAATTACTCAGATCGTGATCATGATCATGATGATTGTTTAGATCGATCAGAGATGGTGACAAGTTGAGTTCAAGATCAAGGCTCTTGCGGTTGTGATGATATTCTTCATCGATATAATTTGCTGTGTCTTCACTGAATCTTTTTCTCTGCAACACAAGATCCGAAAACATCTTACATATCTCCTAAACTCATAATCCTATATATCTCCTAATTAAAATCATAAGTATGTTCAGCGATTTCCAATTAAATGAAGGCATAGGTCCACCAATCATAAAAGAACTTTTGTAAATATTTTTGACTATATCAACAAACTAGAGAACTCCTAGTTTTTTTTTTGGTCACAAATACAATTAATTTATCGAAAACTTCCATTTTTTTCTAAAAATCTTCTTATAACATGCATCAAATATATTTTGATTGCATCTAATTTCAAATGTTTCGATACCTTATGGCACAAAATTTCTTACGACGTAACTTATATTTTTGATAAATGAAATTGCACAGAATCTTCAAATGTTTTAAGACCTTTCCATAGAAAATCTTCTTACATAACTACAACATCAAATACATGTTTACCTTCTGATCAAAGGAAGAAGCTTCGACTCTTTCGACGAGATCATCATTTGCTAATAATTGGTGGCACTTTCTTTTCTTAGAAGCTTCTTCAGATTCCATGCGATAAGACAGAGCGAGCTCTCGCTTTTTCATCAACCAGCTTGTTCCTTTGTCTGTAAATTCTAACATCACGTAGATATATTTGTACGTACTATAAGTTTATATTTTGTGTAGGCCAATCTGTTTCGAGGTCATTTTATATAGGCAGTAGAACATTTGAATTTTTTTAATTTATCAGCAAAATCAATAAATTTATGGGCCATGCATGACGTGCATTCAAAGTTTCGCCTCTTCAATTACTGCAACCAGAGAGCTTATTTAAAACCCTCAGATGTATATAAATATCCAACGCTCAATTCCTACTTCCTTCCCGAAATAAAATTCAAAACAAAAGGCTAATTAAATTTTCAAGAAGCTATTGGATGTTTTCGAAAGCGGTTCATAATTTATTACGTTTATTTAATAATCTTCTGTTTCTTGGACAGTATGCAATTAATTTGGCCGCACTCAGACAAAATAATCTGATATCTATTGTCTATTGACAAGAGCTACGTAGAATGAGATAAGGGGAAAAAAAAAACTTAGAGTTGCGTAAGTTGCAAATGCTTACGTAAACTAAATGTTTTTTGAAATAGTATGTTTTGCAGTGACATACAATAATATATAATATCAAATAGTTGGTTATCTAGCACTTTTGAAAGTATACAAGATGGATAATTTAATCTTACAGGCGTGGTTTCTGCTTTAATATCATTAGTGGATACTTTTGAACACTACATTAATAGAGGTTATGAGTGAAATTAAGATCTAAAACTTTTAGAATTTAACACGAAGATCATAAAGTCTAGGAATCAAACGCAAGGGGAAAGATGAAAATAAATTTCGTTTAACTATAATTCAAAAAGTCGATTCAGAAACTTACGAATCTTCCCAATATTTTGTTATAACGAATATATATATATATATATATATATATATATATATATTAATGAAATTTTTCACTTAATAAAATTTTTCATTTCCTAATATATATATATATATAATCCATTTCTTTTCGACAATATATATATATATAATCCATTTCATTAAATGTTGTTTGAGGTTTTTTCATATATATTTAGAAAACATAATTAGAAATTCTATCATACACTTACAAACTGACTATTGGTATTTTTAGATTGAAGGTAAAATTAGGCATTAAATACTAAAATTTACATTGAAAACCTAAAATGATATAAAATTTGAAAAGGAAAAAAAAAACTAATTTTAAATGATATTATACTTTCTGTTCAGAATTATTTGATGTTTTATGAGATTTTTTTTTATTAAGAATTATTTGATGTTTTCACTTTTCAATGTAAAATTTAATGAATTTTTATTGTTTTTGACCTTTTATATTCTGCAGATTATCTTTTTATTAGCTAATTATATTTAAATAAATTATAAATAATATTTTTAGTGTAAAATATTAAATAAATTTTTAATCTGTGTATAAAAAACTTAAACATCAAATAATTCTGAACCGAGGGAGTAGTTTGAAACGGAATGAATATATCTTGTGTTAAATTTCATTCTGACTAAAAACTCAGCACTAATGAATGACACATAACATGCATACCCACATTAAAAATTAAAAATATACATTAAATGATCAGTGCTAATTAATTAGAACATATATAATATACACAATTATTATACATCTAATAGTATATATACAGGAGCAGACGAGAAGGTCTAATAAAAACAAGAGCTAGAATTAGACAAGAGATCTTAAAAATATAAATCAGAAATTGAAACCATATATTTGCAGAAGTAGATAGACAGGTGCAACAATAAAACGTTTTTCATAGTAATGTCATTAAATGAGGGATTGCATTACACTGTACCAGTTTTCGGGTGTCCTTAAATGGAGGTGGTGAAGGTTCCATTTAATGTCAAAGAGTCAGATCAAAATACAGTTGAAAGTGCAGTTGAATTGGAGAAGAATAAGTAGAAGGAAACGAAACTTTAATGCCCTAATATGGACGATCATAAAATTTTAGTTTTTGTTTAAAACAATTAGAATAACGTTTTTTTGTTTTTTTAACATTTCATTCAACTGATATAACTTCTAAATGGTTTCACAGATTGTATAAATTTGTGATCTCCTCACGAAAGTTTATGATATCTGTATCCTAAAAATCCGCTACTATCGTTATTCTTTATTATGGCGATAGAACATGACAACTCTGTCTTATTTTTTACAGTAGTGGTTATCAAAATTTTGTAAGGTTTGTTACTTGTGATTTTTTAAATGAACATTGATTTTTTTTAATTGTTACTTGTGATTGGTGAACACATTATATCTTCAGCATCTCAGGTTTTGACTCGCTACTAGATATATTGACAAAAGAACAAGATGTGTGTTTTGTTTTGCTTTTAGAGTTGATTTTTAATTTTTTTTTGGGTTTTATTGAGTCATATTTTTAAATTTATTTTTTGAATCAAATTATTTTTCTGAGTCAAATAATTGGGAATTATGACATTTTCTAGGAATAAGGGCTTTATTTTGGGATTCAATGACTTATACCAGAGTTTGTTCAGGACACAAAATTAGGAAGCTACTATGATTAGAATACCCTAAAAGTTTTAGGTTGCATATATTTTGATGGATCTGATATTGACTTTTTTTTATTCGACTACTAACTTGACTAAATTATCTCATTAAAGGTGTTAGATTAGGAAAACGAACCATATATTCATGATTTTTTTTATTATTATTTTTACCACTCTCCGTTAATTGTGAAGTAGCCAATTCATTTTTAGTTGGTACCCTTCCCTTACTTTATCTCGTGTAGAACTTCATACATTTTTTTTTAATTGTCGCAACATGTGCAAAAATGATAAGAAGAGAAAAATAGCAACACAGTATTATATTTACAGTAGATAGAGGCCTCCAAAACACTAGGTGGAGTGATACTGTTGGATTTGAGAACTTGGTATTTTCTCATGAGCAAAAAAAAAAAAACAGTTTTCCCTTTGAAGAAAAACGTAAAAAACAAAGAGAAAGGAAATGGTTGCTCATAGAAAGAGTCTCATGGGTCATGTCAAACAAAAGCTTGCAATACTATATTATGTACCATTCGAAGTGGAGACTATAATTGGACGGGAAAGCGGTCGATACGTGCTTCAATCGCACGAACTGGTACTATTTAGTGTCTGTATTTTTATAATGTGTTTATACATACCTGAACTCCGCAAAATAAAAAAATTCATGTTTGAACTGAAATTTTTTTGACCAAATCGTGCATAGACTTTTTATCCGTTAGTCAACCCCATCAAATTTTTAACGGAGACTGACTCATCTGCCACGTTGGAATGAGAACATTTACACCTAAGAATGCGATGTCGTTTTGCAAAATCCTGAAAAAAGAAAATTGTGTAAGGTCCAGAGAATCGAACCTACACCTTACACCACACAAACCAATCCCAGAAACCACCAGACCAATTGTACTTACTAGTAATCTATCAAACTCTTATAATTGGACGGGAAAGCGGTCGATACGTGCTTCAATCGCACGAACTGGTACTATTTAGTGTCTGTATTTTTATAATGTGTTTATACATACCTGAACTCCGCAAAATAAAAAAATTCATGTTTGAACTGAAATTTTTTTGACCAAATCGTGCATAGACTTTTTATCTGTTAGTCAACCCTATCAAATTTTTAACGGAGACTGACTCATCTGCCACGTTGGAATGAGAACATTTACACCCAGAAACCACCAGACCAATTGTACTTACTAGTAATCTATCGAACTCTTATAATATATATATATACAATTTATAAGCGTTTATTTAAAAAAAACTCAAACGTCGTCGTATTAGTTATTCATTGGCTTTTAGAAAATCCGATCCTAAATGCTGGAAACTAAGGAGTTTGTTTCCCTCGACTCGAAGGAGATTTCTTAGAGCGACGAGCTGTGGTTAATCTTGGGGCAAATTGTTTTATCGAGAAGAACTTGAAGGCAATTCCGAGTTTGGGTTTCGAAAATCAACTTCTGGGGTCTCAATTTCTCCTCTGTCTTCTTCTACACCCAAAAACCCTAATTTCCAGTTCTTCCCCTAATTTGAACACAGAGCTCGACGAAGAAGACCAGATTTTCTAAAAGTAATGAATAACTAATACGACGTCGTTTCTGTTTTTTTTTTTTTTAAATAAACGCTCATAAAATGTATATATATATTATAAAAGTTCGTTGAATTACCAATAAATGTATATATGCTTTGTTTGACAGGTGTTGTGCAGGGTTCGATTCCTCGCCAACATAATTTTTCTTCCAGTATTTTGAAAAACTACGTAGCATCTTTAGGTGTAAATATTCTCACTCCTGTTTCAAATTTTTTAGGGTATGAATTTTCTCATTTGCGATTTTTGCAGGAAATCAAGATTTTGGAAAAAAAATGAAATTTTGCAGTTTTAGCACATTTTTTTTTTATAAGAAATGATTTTTTAACTAAAAAATAATTTTTTAAGGATAATTATGAATATGTTATACTGAGGAATATTTTAGTCATTTAATTTTTGAGATGCTAGATTTGTACCCAGACTCTATATTTTTTATTTTTCAGCATCTCAAATATCTGTATTTTGAGCATTTGCATACAGATATTAGTTCTAAAGTGTCCATAGAACAACATTTAAGCATTTGCATCCAGATGGCGTCTGGATGAAAAAACGAACAGAGCCTATATTATGTACCATTTGAAGTGGAGACTATAATCGGACTTGTGGCTTATGGTCTTAAGTTACCATAGGGGTCACGCATTCAACTAGTCTTTCATGCTCTCTTTGTTTAACCATAGTAATAGTTGACTAAGAAGCTTTATTTTTCTTTGCTTGATGAAAATCAATAAAGCCCATAAAATCTCAAAAGAATTCTAACATGGCAAAAAAATTTAGACATTTAGGAAATGAGTTAGTCTTTCATTTACATTTTCTCCTGCGATGCATGACCATATATAGTGTAAGCATTCTTATTCATATCTATGACTGTTCTGTCTACGGGGCCAGACTTCTCAAGAACCTAAACCGAAATATTACAAACTTGAACAATGAAAACAAAGAAACATAGCAAAACCAGGAACTCCAACATACCATTCTGATTCATTTCGAGATTTTTGCGGCTAGTTCTCTAACAAGCTTAGCGGCCACCATTGCCGTCATGCCGTCAACAGTATCACGTTGCGGGTTGAACTCGACAACATCAGCCCCAACAACATCTCCCTGAAGGTTATGTAAGATGTTAAGTACGTCTCGGAAAGAGAGACCTCCTGGCTCAATGTGGGACACTCCTGGTGCAAATGCCGGATCAAGACAGTCCACATCGATCGAGATGTACACACCTTTCACTCCTTCCCCTAGTTTCTGTACAAACCCATTTAATGTATTACTTGCAATGTAACAAATGCACAAAACCTCTAATAAGGAGTCCATACAAAGTCCCCTGCTATAACACTGTTTGTTTTGTCTAAATTTAGGGAGAGAGAGAGATACCAGATTCTCCAAAATTTGGCGATCTCTTGAGAAGGTTCGCATCTCATACTGTTCTACTCCAAATCTCTTGCCCTGTTCCCGTCCTTCCTGGTTTATTGATCTGATCCCAACCTACGATAAAGTTTGAGTTCTCCTTAGGAATATCTTTCCCTGATATTGTAATGTATATAACAACAGAGAAATTGAACCAACCTGTAAAAGACGCCGAGCATAGCCACCTTCCATGATACGAGCAAAGGAAGATGCATGAGAGTACTTGTTGCCTTCAAAACAGTCATATATATCAGGATGTGCGTCGAGATGAAGAATGTCCACAGGTCCTCCAAGTTTCTCAGAAACCGCTCTAACAACCGGATAAGATATGGAATGGTCTCCACCTAATACCAGTGGACGTAATGGTTCCTGACACAATAAACATTTGGACTTTTAGCTGCTAAAAACCAACAAGACAGACTAAAAAAAAAGTCTTGATCTAAATCTCAAACACTAAGATGACACAAAGGCCTTCTCCACAGATTTGAGTAAACTCGAATAGGAAAGGTAGCATAACACTAGTGTTAATGGTATAATAGCTTACCTCTTCCATCACAAGCTTTACAGATTCGCTAATTACATTCATCAGCCTATCATCATCAACCCCACAATCTCTAATCTCTTGTACCGGAACATCTCCAACATCAGTTAGAACCCGTGCGTCCTTAAGCTCCTTCCCTGCAATATATTCCACAATCTAATCTCAACGAAAAACAAGCACACCCCACATAACTCGTAAAAATGGAAGATCGATGACTGTATAGCACATGGTGAGTGATCTGATAACAACAAACACCTCATGCTTCGACTAAAACTAAACCATCAACCAAAAAAATCCAACATTCATAATCTACAATCTAGAGTTCCAAACACAAGTTCAGAACACAGGACAGAGGCCCTAAACACAAGTTTGAATAGAAAACTGCAACGAAGTAGAGATACTGAAGTTCCAACATTCAGAATCTACAATCTAATAATCCAAACAAGTTCAGAACACATAACATAGGCCCTAACACAAGTTTGTATCGAAAATCGCAAACAAAGCAGAGAACTCAAGTTCCAACATTCAGAATTTACAACCTAATATTCCAAAAAAACGAGCTCAGAACACAGGACAAACCTCTTAACATAAGATACGAAAGTTTCCAACATTCCAAACAAAAGTTTCGTATCGAAAATCATCGCAAACGAAGCAGAGAAAAACTCGAGCGAACCTTCTTCAGTGGAGGAGTTTGTGCTACCACACCAAATAGCTTCTCTGATTCTTGGAGGAGCAAAAGCAGGACCTTGAAGGAAAGAAGAGTTGTGGCCAAGAGGTACACCAAGAAGAGATGCTGAAGCTTTGGCTCCTCCTATGAGACGCACTAACTCTCCCTACAAGAACCATATACACAAACAAACAGAAAGAAAAAAACATTAATAATGAACAAAAAAAAAAACTTTCATATTTTGAATAAAGTTGTATACTTTGAGTTTTGCCCTTTCACGAATGAGAGTTAACGAAGCATCAATGACACGACTCTGCCCTTTCTCGATCGAAGAAGCATAGGAGAAATATCGAATCCCTCTCTGCCAAATCTTCGACATATCTGAAATTCGTAGATCGAATAAACAATCTTTCAGAGATGAAAGATGGGCAAATCAAAGTGGGTAAGTGAGTTATGAATTCCTCTGAGAAATCTCTGTTCGTCTGCTGGGAATCAGTGACGAGTATGAAACTATCAAGGGGTCATTCTGATTTTATCTGTTCTCTTTTTTTTTTTTTTTTCCTTTTTTAGTTGCTAAAGTTTTTTTTATTCTTGGAGCGGTTTGAAGCAAAGTGTTTATGATATAAAACTTAAGAAAACTATCTACAGGGGAAATTTGGCGTGGTAATTCAAATTTTATGAAACTATCAAGGAAGGCAGACAAGCAAAACTTAAGAAAACAATTTATTCATGATCCCTAAACTGATTTTGAAAAACATTATCCAAAGTATTTATAATATAAAAACAAAATGGCAAACTTAAACACAAGATGGGTTTGGGAAATTGGGGTTGGTAATTCTCAAACGGGTAATTCGGTTACCATATTTCATTCTTGCTCCTTTCCGTTATCCGTTATGTATCCATTTAATTAAACAAATAGTATTAAACATGAAATTATTTGAACGCGATTGGGAATAAGACGAGAAATTCAGGATGGGTATGCGTCGAGACTGGTTTTTCGTCCCAAAATGGACATGTCTAGCTGATAATATCAAGACTTTTGATACAAGTTATGCAGATGACATAGTATACACCCAGGAATTTTTGAATATAGTCAAGATTTTTGGTTTGTTGATAACACCGTATTTGTACCTATTTTCACCATTGATTTCAAATGTTTTTTTCAAAGGTTTTAATCAGTTTTATGAACTTTTATTATGATTTCTCTATATTTGTAGTTTCAAGGAAACTTAGGAAAAAAGATGGCAAAATGGAAGAAATCCACATTTTTAGCTCAGAGTCAGGCCGTCAGAAGTTCAGCCTCAAATGAAGACTTTCTCACCGTCTGATCCAGCTTAAATTTGGAGAAATTCAAGAGGAGACAACCAGCTTTCCATAGCACTTTACATCACGAAGATCTAACGGTGCAATCAAAATATCCATGGAGAACAAGTTTACCAAATTCATCAGTCCCGAAAGACTCTCACCCGAGGTAAACAGGCATTTTACCTGCCCTGGAAGACTTTCACCCCCGGTGGACCAAATCCGAGCCACAAGGCCCAACATCAAAGCCCATTTCGCCACCATTGCTCTTTAGAGAAGCCCTAAAAGAGACCTGAAAAGTCTTAGGACCTATAAATACATTCCTTAGCAGTCCTAAACGGGTGTGTGCTCCTGTAATGAGATTTTGAGGCGACGGAGAAGGGAATTCTTCCCTAGATCCACTGTTCTTTCTCCTTTTTATCTAATTAACTTTTCTGTTTTATCTTTTGCATTCTTTCATGTCTTTAATCATTCTTTTCATCATGTAGATCTGTCCCAGAGAGTTAAGTTGTTGAAGAGTCATCGATAGGGATATATGTTCAATTAGGATGTCTAAGTTTCTAAACCATATTCTGGATCTCATCTCTTCTAAGTTGTTCATATTGCATGAGAGTAGATTCATGACTTATTATTTGAGCCTAGGATCGATCAGAGCCACGAGAGTGCTGTATCAGATCATCCATACCTAGCTCCATAAGAACATAGTCGCTACAGGAGTCCTGAGCTACCTGTAGAGAAGATGTGAGCAGACGAATTCAATATTTAATGCATGATATTATTTCTGGCATGAGAGCGAGAGTTAATTGTCAGATCTGAGTGATTAGTTGATTAAAATAGCGAGAGTTGGTTAATCATACACATGTCTATTCTAGTTCCATGCAGATCCCAGAAACAGATGAAGATAAATCACCCGGAGGCTAATTGGAAATGCTTTGACATTGATTAGAGTAAACTAGAGAAGTCTAAATCGCCACCTATGAGTTTAAAGTCTATAGTTTGAGTTGACATCTTTGAGATATTCTTTTAACAATTTATTTGCATTGCATTTTATTTCCCGTAAATATTAGATTAGGTTTAGTTTAGGATGCTTAACCAAAAACCCAAATCCCCATGAGTTTATGACTTTTCTTACTCTCCCAGTTTGGTGTTGTTTGCAGATTAGACATCTTCCATGTGGATTGACACCCTAAGTCCTACAACATACATCTGTGCACTTGCAGACACTAGGGTTTTATAAATTTAAAACTTTTTTAGGACCAATGGGCTTGTAAGAAAAACACAACACTAGGCCTGCACACATCAAGTTTTTGGCGCTATTGCCGGGGAAGGAATTAGTCGCTGGAGGTCTAAACTGCAGATGACTATATATATGTCGAGTTTCTGTCAAACACCATAGGAAGTAAACCAAACTCATAAACACCCTAACTTTTTTTTCTGCTTATTCTTTCTTCTGCTTGCCCTAGTTTCAGAATCTTTGAAGCATGGATCATCCGAGAAGAAACTCTAATCGCGAGCGAAGGTTTTGCAACATGTGTAAAGCTCCCTGCGCATGTGAATCACCATTAAGGCATGATTCCAACCACCTGGATCGAGACCCTCATCCGAACCACCACCATGGAAACTCACGAACTCCACACAACCGAGATGAACCCTATTCGCCACACCTGGTGAACCGTCGACCATCTCATCCCCTACCTCATCAGATTCTGCACCAGAACTATGAGAACAATCGATTTAACGAACTGCTTAATCGATTGGAAGCCAAGCTGAATCAGTTCCTTGCTTTCCAAGCCCTCATTGTTGCTGCCCTGCGAACAAGGATAGAAGCCATCACCATCGACCTTAACAAAAGGTTTGATGACTTCTCTGAGCACGTGAAGACACTGGAGGATCAGAGAACCAAAGAAAATGAAGTGTTGAATCAGAGGATGTAGTTTGTCGAAGAAGAACAAGGGAAAAACAAGTTCAACATTCGACAAAGTAAATGGGAGATGCAAACCCTAAGTTTCAAGATTGATGACTTGGTTAAGGAGCTGAATGAAAGCAAGAACCAGACCTATGACTACACATTGGAGCTGTGGCAAGACATAGCTAAGGTTGAAAACAAGACTGAAGAGCTTGATGCTACTTTAGACAAAGTTGTCTATGCTTTAGATGAAGTAGAGAAGAGAAAGTTGAAAAACTTTCTAAAGAGCATAAGGAGTATGATCTGAACACTGGAATCAATGATTTGGATACCCAAGATGTGCCTGACAACCACTAGAAGCAAGGGAACAACAAGGAAGAAGAAGAGATTGAAGAAGCAAGCATGGTGAGCATGGAGGAGCTGACCGCGACTGCAAGCACTCCACCTGCAGCCAGGACTAGTTCCACCGTGGCCCACAGCCTTCCACCCGCGGCCGAGCCTGACTTTTCAGACTGGGAGTCCTTTCAACATCTTTCTGAAACCTGTTCAACTGAAGACTGACCTCATGTGACCAGATCTAGGTTGTTTGATCAAGTTTTCTTCTCAATCACTGCACAAGCATCAAAAGAAAAAGAAGAATCCAACATTTATGCATCTTGCAACATGGTTTACACTTGTGACAATAAGCTTCAAGACCAAATCTCAGAAGATGAAGAGTATGGTTTGTTTGTTAAAGATCCTAACCCTGGGGACAATTCATCTGATGACAACTCAGAACCAATAACCAAGAGCATATCCAGAGAGAGACTGATCAAATTCAACAAATTTGTGAAGTCCATTCCTCTCTATCTCAGAATCGATGACAGCTGGAAGCAAGGCTGCCTTCAAGTCTTCTTTAGATACATCAAGGAGACTAATGAGAACATCTCTACCTATTTCAAAAGAGCCAGGTATCTATCTTTTCATAGATCATCACCTGATGCAGCTATTTACAGGATCCGTCTCAAAGATCCCCAAGAAGCCAGTGACTACACAAACAAGATCAGCGAAGAAGCACTTGAAGAGTTCAATCAAGTAGTTCAGACTCTGCATAAAAGAATTTCATTTGCCAAAGCATTAGAGACTACATGATAGGCCACTTCTTCTGTGATAGCAAAGAATATATCCAAGAGATGAAAGACTTGTTCACACACGCCTAAGAAGGTAGATCAGTTCGAACTCTGCATAAAGTTCAAGACACAGGTCAATTTCTTATCTCTTGTGACATTAGAGGTGAAAGATTCCTCAATATTCTTTGTGATTCTGGAGCTTGCATTAACATGATGTCCAAAACTATTGCTTTGAGACTTGGCATTAAGTACATTTTAAGTACCAGGATAAATATTAGCTTAGGAGATGATTCAAGTGCAACTCCAAGAGGGATAACCCGAGACATTCCTCTAAGGATTGAAGATTGCATAGCACCTGTCGTTTTATACATAATGAAGACCAAATCATATCCCATTATCCTTGGATGGCCTTTCTTAGCAACTGCTGGAGCCATCATGGATTGGTCCAACCGGAGAGTTTATTTTGCAAACATCGACAATGACATCTTCTATGAAGCTACACCACTGAAGAGCAAAGGAGGAAAGCATAAAGCCCATGCATTTGAACTAGAAGAACTCTAGAGTGATGAAGAACCTACAAGAGAGAACAAGAGGATTTCGAAAAAGATTTGTCTTAGGAGAAGATCTTATTTGAACTAAGTCTTTTTCTTTGCAAAGTCTAGCTAAAGACTATAAACCAAAGCACTTTATGGGAGGCAACCCATCTAGGTACTTATTTGTTTCAGTTTAACTTTCTTTTTCTATTGAAGTTTTGTTTTTATTATTTTAGACAGGCCTTAATATGCATCTAAAAAAAAAAAAAGAAAAGGAGCTGACCGCGGCCAAAGGAGGTTCAGCCGCGGCCAGCAAGAGTCCTACTGCGGCCGCGACACCTTCAACCACGACCAGGAATAATCCAGCCTTCCTTGGCCACTTCCACCTCTACCTTGATTCAAATCAGTCCAAATTTGATCAAACACCACTCCACATCAGCCACCATCCATCATTCACTATCGTACCACCTCCACAACCACCTCGCAATCCATCACCAACACCAGGTAAGTTTTCTTTTCCTTCATCTTTTGAATTTTTACATACTCTATTTCTCATCATTGCCTGATTTCTTTCACACTGGGGGCAGTGTGATTTAAGTCTAGGGGAGGATTTCATCCCTTTCGAAACACATTTTTTTGCATGAGCCCTTGCATTCTGCATTTTTCTTAAATTTTTTTTTTTTCGGTTTTCTTAAAACTTTTCA